TATATTCGTTTAATAGGGGAGTGTATCATCGTGTAGAACTTTATAAGGTAAGAACTGCAAGACTGTTTTTCTTGTACTGTAGAGCAGGGGTCCCCAACCCCGAGTCCCAGTGCCGGTCCGTGGCCTTGGCAGGACTGGGCCATGGAGACAGATCTCCCACCCACCCCGCACGCACTTCCCCATGCACTCCCACATGCATGCACAGCCCGCCTACACACACACATACGGGTGCCCCGCCCACCCGTGCATACCTGAGAGCATGCCCCACCATCCGTGCATGCGCATGAGCACCCCCAGCCCACCCACGCATACCCTACTCACCCGCGTATGAGCACGGGCATTCCATGATTACCCACGAGCACACCCCACCCACCTGCAAGTGCAGGGGTGCCCTGTCCTCCCAAACACAGACCCCACTCCCCAAACTGGTCCGCGTTCAGAAAAGGTTGGGGACCACTGCCCTAGATTACTCTTGTCTTCAGACCTTTTCCTTATAGGCTTAGCTATGCAAGTTTACTTACGATAGGTATTTCCTTTATGACTTAGAATTATTTCAAAAATGCTGGATGTAAAATAATAACGTGCCCAAAAGTGTGCTTGTTTTGGCTTTTGTCTGGGAGCAGGAATGACTAGAAGGAATACCAAGGAGTGGTGGATGTTTTTCTAAGAGTATTTATTCCCCGCTCCCTAATATGCTTCCTTAGTTTCCAGTCACATAATAATCAGGCCCTGTATCAGCACCATCAGCACCACCACTTCCATCCTGCTCCTGTTCCGAAATGCTTCTGAGAGCTCCTCATATACAAGCATCATCATCTTAGAACTGGAAGGGACCCAATGGATTATCAAGCCCAGCCCCTGTCAAGGAGGCATAGTGGGGAATCGAACCTGAAACCTCTGGCCAGATATGCAAACCACTCAACTATTCAGCAGTATAATAAGCAAGTAACTTTCCATAGTTTAACAATCTAAAAACAGGGGATAAGGAAGAAAAACAGGGGAGGTAGGGATGAAAGAGGACAAATGCAAGCAGCTTTTCAGCAAGGATGGTCACAAAGCTTTAGTTTCCATCTTGTTCTACCTACTGTGGATTAAATTTTCGTTTTCCTAGCTATGATCTTTGCCTTCCTTTTACTCTTCCAAACTATTTTTTCCCCCTGGAAACAGTCCCAACTGGGATTAACATGTTTTCCAATGGCACATGGTCTCACATATGTTCATTTCTGATGATTGTCTCTTAGACATGGAAGATCACAGCATTTCCTGGGATGGGTATGGTACCAGCAATGTGTTTCAGTGCTAAGTTGCAGGAAGCACAGGTTGCAATTGTTGAGTTACTATGCTGTACTGTAAGTGCCAGGGACATTCTGCTGCAGTATTGTCTGTGTTCCACAGGCGTATATCTCGTGATGGCACGGTAGACAGGTCTTGTGTAACAACTGCAAACTAAGATGCATGGGGGGAAAATGAGACATATAGTGTGGATTTTCCATTGTACCACTAAACATAGAGACTTTCATACTGAGCCGGTGAGCCCTGGGACCAGATGTACTGGGGCAACAATGGGGACCTGGAAATTAAAGCTATCTCATACATAAAATTAAGCTTTGCAGTGCCACTTGCTCTGAGATATATCTGTCTGGTGACCCCCTAGAACCAAAATGATTCCCTGAGACTTCAGTTGGTGTCCCGGGACCTGTCAACATGCTCCTATTTATTTATTTATTGTTTATTTATTTATTCTATTTATACCCTGCCTATCTGGTCATTTTGACCACTCTAGGCGGCTTACAACATGGAGCAACACATATATAAAATTTATAACGCAATTATGTGATATGTGGTTGTGATATTGAGCCAGTTTAGTTTTGTTTTCATGGGTCCAAGCAGTTGAAAAGCAGTTAAGAACTGCATTTAGTTGTGGTGTTGAGGGCTGCTGTGTTCTTTGGCTTTAATGCAAACATAAAAACAGGAAACATGATTGTTTTTTTCCTTCCAGGCTGGGGAGATTCAATAGGCAGTCCCTCAGAGAGTGGAATGACCTACGACGCACTTCATGTTTTTGACTGGATAAAAGAGTGGAGTGGAGATAATCCAGTTTACATATGGGGGCACTCCTTAGGCACTGGGTGAGTCTTCACCTTGCAGATATCTCTAAGCATGTCTAAGACAGATTGGTAAATAGAGTACATATCTAATACAGGTCTTCACCTTGCAGATATCTCTAAGCATGTCTAAGACAGATTGGTAAATAGAGTACATAGTCATTCTAATACAGTGAGATCACTCATTGTAGTCTGTACTATTTATTATTGAATCGTTAGTAGTGAATTAAATGGTGTTATTCCACATTAAAGCAAATCTTTAAGTGGCAACTAGGTTAGCCCTATTTGAATCGGTGAAAGTCACAGAGGAGTTGACTCACCAAATCCTCACTGATTCAATGGGCCTATTCTAGTTGTGACTTACTATATTAAACAACAGGATTTCCGTCTGCAAGAAACAGTAAATATATTGTAATTCATTTTTTTTAAAAAAGAGCGAGACTGCTATAGTTGAAGCAAATTAATAATCAAAGAATGGAACAAATACAGTGGTGCCTCGCGTTACGATGTTAATTCGTTCCAGCGAAATCGCTGTAGAATGAAAACGTTGTAAAGCGAAATTAAAAAGCCTATAGAAACACATTAAAACCCGTTTAATGCGTTCCGATGGGCTGGAATCTCACCGTCCAGCGAAGATCCTCCATAGGACGGCCATTTTCGCTGCGCATGCAGCGAGGAATCCATCCCAGAAAACAACGGGGGCCATTTTGTTTACCCGGCGGCCATTTTGAAACCGCCGATCAGCTGGAGGAAAATCATCATTTTACGAAGAATCGGTTCCTGAAGCAGGGAACTGATCATTGCTAAGCGAAATTCCCCCATAGGAAACATCGTAAAGCGATCGCAAAAGTGATTGCAAAAAGTTCATTGTAATGCGATTTCGTCGTTAAACAGAGCGATCGTAAAGCGAGGCACCACTGTACTAATTTTTTAACCATACATCCATTTTTAAAATATTTTCATCATATCAAAATCAGTTGGTCTCTCTGTTTTATTGTTTGATGTGCAATGGGGAACATGACTTCTCCTTGTATAACTGTGGTTTGGATCCTGAATGCCTCTTCCATAAATTATAAATTGAAGGTCTCCTCTGTTCCTCAATGGGATACCAATGCAACAGAGGTTACCTTTTACAGAAGGAAAGGTGGAAAAGAGAGTTGTTATTTTTTTACAGATTATCTTGGTAACCCACAGCATTACTTCTCATGAATGTTCAGATGGTCTCTAAGCTCTCCAGAGCACATTTTTAGGAAATGGAGAAAGTTACAGAGGGAATTGGCATCAGTCAGTGCCCACCCCTTCCTTTCACTGTCAGCGTATCCACCATCAAGATAAATAGTAATTGGGAATATAGCAGTATGGGTGATCTTTGTCTTAGTCTCCAGAGACACAGCCTTACATTTAAATATCTTTTCTCATTCCTTCATAGCCTCTCTTCCAAATCTCAATGCACTTCTCATTTTTCTTGGCTGTCAGCTTCATTTGCTGGATGATTGAACCTAGGTATAGGAGATCATCAACTGTTTTAGTTTCTGCACTGTCAGCAACGAACAAAGTAATTCTTCTGTAGTCATTATTTTTGTTTTAGTGTTCCAATGTAATCCCACGATTTGCAATTCCTTCTTTAACATTCCTTGAACAAAGTGGGATGTTCAGGAGTAAATAGGGTTAAGGTAGATATAAGTAAATATAGTTTCAGAAGAGGGCTGGATGCTACAGTTGTCTGCAGTTTTTTTAACTCTAGATTTCTCCTCCCAGGGTTGCAACCAACCTAGTAAGACGTCTTTGTGAGAGAGGTAAGAAGGTTTTCTTGAGGTAATTTTCTCAAAAGTGGGCTTCATATATCCCAACTTCCTTCTGTCTTTCAAAAAAAAAAAAAGCACACGATTAGATAGGTCTATATAACAGCGTTTAACAATGACAATTTTCTGAGCTTTTATAATTTTATATGAATTTCAAAATTAGAGTTTTGCTGGCCTTTAGCTGCATTTAATTTTTTAAAAGTGGGGGAATTCCAAAATTAGTTTTGTTGGCCTATAGCTGAGTGTCCTAAGACAACTCCTGCCTATCCTTTTAACAATATGATTAACGCAGGCTTAAATGACTAAAATTACTTTAAGTGACCTGTTCCATGTATTTTCCAGAAACACCCCCAGATGCCCTGATATTAGAGTCGCCTTTTACAAATATACGGGAAGAAGCAAAGAGCCATCCCTTTTCAGTGGCAAGTATAGATATATACACTGTTTTTAAAAAATATTTTGCTATTACATTTAGCATATATGTAATATATATTATAAAAAAGGTATGTTGACTTTGGGAACTCTCATTGTATCTGAAGTGTTAGTAAGTGACCCAGCCTTTATCTAGAGTTGTTTCAGGTATTGACTTTTCCTCTCTAGTGTAGTGCTCTTTTTCTTTTTAAGGAAATTTATCAGCTCATGAAACTTGAAACTATACCTTGTGGGCAAAATGCTGTGAATGAAATTATGTCTGATTTTTCTAATAGTATAACAGAAGGGTGACTGCAACATGTCTTTCTTTGACTCCAAGCAATTAAGAGGGGAGTGTAGAAATAAACAAATATTAGTACTCTGAAGATGAGCTGTGGTACTTCTGCATTTTTCTCTTATTGCATAGTCCACAAATCTTGGAGTTCTTATTAAAGGAACTGTAAATGCATGTTGCATACATGGAACTGAAGTCTATACAGTAAATCAGGTGTTCTTAAGAAGCCACAAGTTGTGGTCCTCTTGTGTCTATGGAGATTCCAGACATCAATGCCAATATATTCTGGGAATCGCCGATGACATTAACATAAACACTCATGGTGGAGCAATTGTTAGCACTCTTAGTTTCAGAACTGATTAGGAAAATGTATCTTCCATGATCAACTTTTTGGGGTATGGGGTGGGGTACCTGTGCTAGTTCACTGACGCAAAAGCAGTAGTTACGTTAAAAACTCACTTTATTTGGCATACATTTCCATGGACTGAAATTGGTTGCAGCCCATGGTAGCTTGTGTGAAGTAAAATATGTCAGTCCATAAAATATTACAAGTATCTTTGGTTTTCCTTGTTCGATACCTCTCCACCCCAACCCCTTTTAAATCTATTGCCACTTTTTGCTGATATGCAGTCAGGGAAAGGGAGAGTACTCTTGTCATGGTTGGACCATCACCTGATAAAATGTAACCTCGCAATGGAGCTCCCCCCCTGCAGGGAGCAGGGACCTATTTTAATGGTCCGCCCTCGAAAGTTACTGGATCCCATGAGATCCCGATGGGGGCAATATGTCCTTGTTGGTCCTCCTCAACATCTTAGCCGCCTTTGATACCGTCGACCACGGTATCCTCCTGGGGAGGCTCTTCGAGTTGGGAGTCGGTGGTCTGGCACTTGCCTGGCTCTGCTCCTTCCTGGAGGACCACCCCTAGAGAGTACAGCTTGGGGAGAATGTCTCGGCTCCGTGGAATCTCAATTGTGGGGTTCCACAGGGGTCGATAATCTCCCCAATGCTGTTTAACATCTATATGAGGCCGCTGGGCGGGTCATCAGGGGGTGTGGGGCATCGTGTCATCAGTATGCTGATGACATACAGCTCTACATCTCCTTTACACCAACTTCAGTGGATGCCGTCCGGTCCCTCCAGTGCTGCCTGGAGACTGTACTGGAATGGATGCAGTCAAATGGATTGAGGCTGAACCCGGACAAGACGGAGGTCTTGAGGGTGGGTGGCCCTTCCGTCAGCAGAATAGGTGACTCCCTCTCCTTTGGAGGGACAACCCTTGCCGCAAAGAGTGAGGTCCGCAGCTTGGGGGTATATCTGGACCCGGCACTTACGATGGAAACCCAGGTGGCATCCGTGGTCCGCTCCGCCTATTTTCATCTATGACGGCTTGCCCATCTGCGGCCGGCTCTTTTGGGGGGGGGGGCGC